GTGTCCCAATACTTTTGGTGTAGTACTGTACTTCTAGCTGAAACCCTCTCCAATACCTATTAAGCTAAGTTAGGTAGGGCGTGGTGACAGAAACTGACCATCACAAGTGCTCGGTTTACTAGTGTTTTGGATCATGAAACATACTCCCGAACTCGTAAACAGCACGGTCATAGTAATGTAGCACTTGCTACACAACGGTAGAGAACAGGCTCTTCATGGCTGTCGCAACGGTCGCAACCATCCATCCCGCCAGTTGTACCATGAGTGTACTATGACACCATATTATATGGAGTCAAGTTCATGAAAATGTGTTCAGTCCTGCTTATTGAGCTTTTCTGGTGAGAATGAGAGTGAGAGTGAGAGTGAGAGACAATCAACACAGTGGATTAGGTGGGGTTTGGGGGTACGCGGTATGAAACTGCCCTCAGAACATGGTACTTCATCGACTCGTCATTGCGTTCCGCTATCTTCAAAGGCCGACATACAATCTAGTGAAACGCAACACCCTCCACTTGAATTTATGGAGTTCGTTCTCTCCGGTAAGCTTCCCTTGTAATCATTTCTGGCCAGCAAGAGGATCGCGGTTTTGGTATCACTCTCTCAAACTGCATTTTCACCCTTTGCACCCCGTCTTTGGAAGTGGCGTAGCTTCACCGGCTTGCCAATTCCTCAGCATGACAGAACCATCGACCTCAGCTGGGGCCAGAAAAGGAAGGTATAGGCAGGACTCCCAAGAACAGACGATTTTGAGAGAAGGACAGAATGTCCAAGTGCAGCCACAGGCTTCTCAAAGCAATCTGATGGGGATTCAGCAACAAACCTCTACTACCACCCGGCCAGCCGGAGGGTTTGAGCGTCTAATCATGCAAGACAAGCAACAAAAACCACATCCACATGCACACCCACAAGCCTCTCTATCCAACCTGCCTCAACTCGGCACTGGTTTGACTCCGGACACGGTACGTCGAGGGCGGAAGTGGTTCAAAATGGCCCTGCCCAGCTATGATCCAGCAACAAAGGCAATAAAAGAAGACGTGAAAGATACTCTCCTACCAGGCAGCAGATCATTCACAGAGAGGGAAACATATTCCTCCCTCCATGGCCGCCGCACTGCAGGCTCTAATCTTGACGTGATAATCGTGACCGAATTCCTCATCTACCCGAAAGATCCCACGGTCCCTTTTCAGCGTGGATTCGAAGACAGTATTTCTCGCCGATATAATGACGAGGTGCCGATTGAGTATCCACGGATGACAAGAAAGGAGGAGAAGGTATATCCAGGGATAACGAGCAAGTGGAGCTTATTTGCCAGTCATTGGTTTGTGATGTGCCCCACAACTCGGGAACGCTGTGAGTTCGTAGTCCTTCAAATCGGTTCAATTGCCTGACATCTTGCGTTGTTCACATCAGCGAAGGTCAGACTAGTCTCACCACGATTGAGCACCAGTACCAATACCTCCTCTAACGAGCTCACGACCTCGCATCCGCCGCCATGGCACCAAGCAATCCACATAATGTGGAGGCACCTGCACTCCAACTACACCGTCCAAACAGACTCCACCTGCAGGACGAGCATTAACCTCATCTATGCAGAAATCTACACCTCCTCCCAACTCAAGCAGATCACATCTGCCATCCTCCATTTCGAACCCGTCATGTGCGTGCTAACAAACCAGCACCACCATCACCACCATCACCACGAAGAACCAAACCTCTGGAAGTCCCCTATTCTCTTCCCGCAGCTGCGAGTACCCAAAAGGAATTACCGTGACAACCCCCGCCTTGGAGCCCGGGATCCTACCCCGCTATCCCGCACCGAATCCCTCGCCCTCATCGCGTCCAGCGAGCCAAACCCTAAATTAGGTTTGCCACGCTATCTAATCGACTTGCTTAACCCACCTTCCCAGGACAACCGGGAGTACCGCTGGGCCTTACAAGGCATAGCGCAGTCCGGACTGATCAGGCATACTCAGCTTCCGGCCTGTGAGGAGAGCGAGGATGCCATTCGTTGGGCGGAATTGACGGTCGCTTTCATTCAGGGAGCGCTGGCTTGTCGGATCCAGGAGTTGGAGAGGATCAGGCCAGATCATGAGGGGTTGAGGGCGTTCATGTCGGGCGTCAGGACGAGATCGGATGGTAGTGAGTGGAGGCGTGGGTCTGGGTAGGTAGGGAAGCAGATGGGAGGTGTTGCGGAGGGGAAACTAGAGGCAGAAGTCTACAGCAAGGAGCAGAAAATGTTGAAGTACCGATCAAGAATCACTTGCTCTCGGGGACTGCAAAGTGTGTTGCTCATTCGACTCCCACTCCTCGCCAGCTAATTACACTAACCGGCCTTTAGTTCTCTGTTTCCTGATCAGATTTCGTACTCCATACTCCGAAGGCGAGGTGTGCAAACTCACATCCCTAACTTAGCTATTTAGAGGAGCTGATCCTGATTTTGCTTCTAATTACCGACAGGACTCTCTCCTGTGGCTGAGCGGGCCGAGTACACCCACACAATGCTCCCCTTCGGAGCAGATCCCAGGACGGTTTACACAGGTTGTTCAAGACAGGAAGAGTAGATGACACCCGGCCTCGTCTAATTCGGTACTCTCACGTGTTGTTCATTCATCGATTTGATTCAATGCGATTCGCTCCAAGGGGCATAGCTAGAATGAGCGATGAGAAAGGGCGAAGAGTCGACAGAGCAAGAGAGAGAGAGACAGAGAAAGGGCTCTGCTGCACTGCACTGCACTGCACTGCACTGCACTGGAGACTCACGACTGAAGTCCAATCAACAATCATCATGGTGATTTATGGCACTAAGCATATGTGTGATAATCTGCAGGAGATACGTAGAAAGCAAGCTGTTCTATCTAGCTAGAGGGGGGTCCATTCGTTCTGCCCTAAACCAGATAGACCAATAACTTATTGTCAACCTGCTGTGCAGAGTGCGTAGAGAAGCAAGTTGATTGATAGCTACGGGGGTAGAGAGCGTAGATCTATGTACAATTGGCTGTACCGTACAGCGAAATTAGAAGCGAAATTGCGTTGGAAATTGACCAATTAGAAGCAGTAGAAACGCAGGGATTACGCATATTAAACGTGGCCAATAGGCCCTCTCAGAAGGTCAACACTTATGATGCAAGCTCACCCCGGGGCTACCTTGATCAACACTTAGCGGCCTCCGAAGCGCTCGTCTTGGATTATGGGCATCAGCACCGATTGAGAGTCTCCCTCAAAACCCGCTGAGATGCTCATTTGCCTGATGAGTCACGCTTTTTGCGTTGGCATTGACGAGACTAGCCCATTTCGAGCATGGCGTGTGTGGCGTAGCCCACTAAGCCCGTCTGGGTTCCGAGGCAATTGACGAGATGCCAGAGCAGCAGCAACTTTAGAAGGCTACCTGCAGTCTTCTTGTGTATTGCGAGCCGCCATAGATCAGCGAAGGTCTCCTGTAGATTGGGCTTCGTTATGTACATAATTTTGTACATAAAGCACAAGCAGCAGAAGTCCCTCGGCCGCTGAAGCGCAAGCTACTAACTTAGTAATCGCTAGTGAACTGATTCACGTGACTCTGAAAAGACAAGCGCCTAAACGTTCGCTCGTCTTCACTCTTCACCCTCATGCCGGTCGTCCCCAGCCTATTTTGGCAACAGCATCAATTAATGAAGCCTCCCGTACTTTCTCACTCGCTACCACGTGTCGTAGATTCACGGGTCTCGCTTCGTTTATTTTTCGCAGCTTGTCCCACCATAGCATCGATCAATGCACTCAGCTCAGATGATGTGGAGGCGTAGGCGGCCCCATCAACTCGGGAGCCGACCAAAAATGATTTCTTTTACGAGGCTACTGACATCACAGGCTATATGATACCTTCATTTCCTGTCCTCTATGACAGTGATAGACGTCTGTATGCTGCGGTATTTCTGCTTACCTAGTCTCTGAGCTACTTTGAGCGACATCCGCGTGCGAAGCGTGACTTGCTTGGAGCGAAGACCTCGAATAGTGTGGGCTAATAATGCTTCAAGACAAAGCAGCCATTCGAGATGCCGGCCATGAGCTGCTGGCCCGATATGGCGAACTCCTGGCTTCGATGTCTACCCTCGCCCTGACCATTCGCCTTTTCTTTCCTTGTTCTCTGGGTCAGTAGCCCCATTCCGCATTATCATGCCTAGAGGCGCTGATGGTGGTGGTGGTATCAAAGTGGTCATGGACCATCATCTATCGCTTATACTTTCACCCGTTAGCAAAGTACCCAGGGCCATTCTTCTTCAAGATCAGTATCCTACCTAGTTTGTACCTTGCGTGGAAGGGAACGAGGCATTTGGTTTTCGATGAACTTCATAAGAAGTACGGTAAGCCCCTCTTGCAACAACGTCTATGGAATGAGTTGTGCTGAAGACCCTACAGGGGAGGCGGTCCGCACTGAGCCTAATTTCCTTTCTCTGATCACGCCAAACGCGATTAGGCGTGAGCGGTGCCCAGGCCTAATGTGCACTTGAATGAAGAGACTAATTGAGAAATAGATATGTACGGTCCTCAGACAAAGTTCCAGAAGGCATGTGAATACCCTTCCACGATTAGAATGCCAGCTACTGACGGTACTCTTCAGGTCATGTACTACACTCGCGGACCAATAGAGAAGCAGGTACTCGTGGTATGTTTTCCCACCTCAACCCACCAAGTCCATGCTCACTAAGACGTCAAAGAACATCGCCAGCACCAGCACCATTACGCTCCCAACCACGCCAAGCAATTCAACCTCATTACTTGGTCCCGATATGAACGTCTATTCTGGGTCCGACGACTTTGATATGGATTTCTATAGTGAACTCTTTGACGCTACTATGCTTCCCACCGCGGTAGAACAGAAGGACCCCTCGCCGGCCGCTTCATTAGCAGATAACTCTCTCGGCATATTAACGATGGCATCGGATTGCAACTTTCCAAATCTGACGGCACATGATCAAGCTTCCCTCGACGACCCGTGTCCCATGTTTCCCGCTGCCGGCGCGACGGTATCTAAAGCTCGTAGCAACACGTCTATTGGAGCCATATCCCTGCCCCCCACGAAAAACTCGCCATTGTCCATCCAATCTCTTCAGCCGTCGCTGCAAGACATCCAGAATAATGTCGAATCTCTGTTGCGGTTCCCCTACCTCTTGCCCATGATCACACTATTGCCACGACGGAGGCTCATCTTCGGAGGGCGCATATCCCCGTTGACGAGGCCATGCGCACCAACAAGGTCTGCATGTCCCAAATCTCCCGCACCATGGAGAACGAAGAATCCCTCAAATCCAACAGCTGCTCCCTGCTCGTCGCTACTGCCATGCAGATGGTCATTTTGCTGTATGAGAAAGCCCTCTCCACGTCCGACCAAGGCCACTCATGTTCTGTCAAAGACGACAGCAACCTCTGCGGTGGAACGATGCTGACAAGGTCACCGCACTCGACTATGTCAAGCACACTCACCACCACCAACAATAACAGCAGTGAATCGGACAACGACCAGCAGCATGCCCTGTCGAGCTTCTCCACCAGTCCGAGCCGCAGCAGAATGCCCGACCTCCAATTTGGGGTCTTCCAATTCGAGCCCGAGGAGCAGACCTGGATCCGCAACCACATCATCCGCAAGGAACTGCAGAGGTGCATCCAGACCCTGCGGGCGTGCCACTCGGACGAGCACCAAAGCAGACAGCAGAGCGCGCCGACTGGCGGGCCACCGGATCTGGCTGGTGGAGATGGAGCGGCGCGCAAATGCGTTGATTGCCTCTTTACCCGTTGGCCAGGCTGATGATGCAGATGCAGCAGAGACAGTAGATGAAAGTAAAGTATGCGGACGCAATAGAGGGAGAAAGGGGTCGATAGAGTAGATGCTTGTTTGCTGGTCATGAAAGGTGTTTTTGGGGTTTCATCAACGAAAATATTGCGGTCGGTATTGGTAACGGAGTAATCCGTACGAAGACTGGTTCTTTCGCCGTATCGAGCCGCCTGCATGCGGTCTATTGTGATGGGAGGAGCACAGAGGAGAGCGCTACGGGGTCGACTTTCGTCTCCCCATTCAGCTTACGTATCGTACGTGGCTAGGATAGAGATGCAGATGCATACGGGACCAGGGGCTTCAGAAAGGTTTGGGACGTGAAATGGGAGGGAGGGAGGCGGTGAGTGTCGACAGATCGGAGGGGATCTGCTTGAATGTCGGACTCAAGTCTCAGGGAGAGGAAAACGGGTTTAGGGAAGTCTGGAAGGTCGATGTGGAGGACATTCAGGGCAATGGCGGGTTTTGCCTTCCGTGGCCGACCGTCCGATCGTGCGAATCTACTGTTGCAGTATCTGATTGGATAGAGACGTCCAAGGCATGTGATGGGATGATGACTATTTAGCCACCATTTACTTTCGGACGTCTGTAAGGGAAAAAAGCACATGGAGGATAGATGGGGTTGGATACAAGTGGGATGGCTCACTTCAATACTGAACCTCATGATAGGTTTGGATTATTCTGCTTTCCTGGTGGTGGGTAGAGGAGTCGTCAGACTATACGAGCGCCTATTGGCCAATTTTTCTACGAGGAATTTCCAGAATTCTATCTGCATTTGATTGGTCAATTTCTACTACAATGTCTCACCTAACTTTTATTATATTGTACTATGGTGGGACAGCCCCCAAAGTCACGTGGACTTGCTTAGTTATTTGGTTAGCTCAAAAAGATGGGCTGTGGGATAAGTTGGGAGATCTTACAGGGGAGGGCACCATGCCTCCTTAATATCACCCACTTAGTCTTCTGAGCACTTTCGAATTTGGCTGTACATGTATAGCTAAATATTCTATTGCGTAGTACAGCGAATATCCCTTTATCCTTGTCTCCTTACATAAGTCGTATTAAGGTGATAAAAGCTAAGCTGCATTTATCCCCTTCGTATTGGCTGGCTTAATTGGCGTCTTTTGCAGATCTTAAGCTCAAATAAGGTTGTCTACAGAAGTTCATCTAATCAGTACTTAATATCTGTAGAGAATAAATAAATGATTCTGTAATAGCTATAAAGCACTGATCACAAAACGCCTCTTTCTTGAAGCTGGAATCAAACAAGCTGCTTGGGCAGAAGTTGTGGCAACCTCAAATAACGAAGAGTAACAACGCTGATTGAGACATTCTACACCCTTGTACCAGTACAGAGGGGATAGTGTTATGCGCGCCAAGAATACCAAGAATGCCAAGCGCGTGCCCTGCGCACAGTATGAGGGCCAGGAGTACCCTAGCGGGTTTTACTAGGGGGGGCCTGAAGTAATGTTAGTCTGGTGCTAAGAACAGCTAGTTCTTATTACGAAAACTCTAGGTTATAATTCGTCACTTCAAGGCTTGTTCTGTGTGCGTCCGTTCTGATGAGTCAAATCATTACATCTAACCTTGTTTGGGCAACGCTGTTTTGTACAAAGAGGGTTTACAAGTAAAGATACTAGCGCTGAGCTAACATTACTTCAAGCCCCCCCCTCGTAGTACATCATTCTCTTGTCCAGCGGCTTCCTTGTACGGTAGCTTCCTTGTTTGGCAGCTTCCTTACGTGGCGGCTGTCAAGGAGGTTCTACGTTATTCTACGCGCATAAAGGCCTCTTAGTATTTAGATCTCTCTTCTTTCTAGAGAGATTCTAGTTCTCTGCGCTTCAATGAGTTATTCTATTAACTACCTACTAAAAATTCGGCCTGCAGCCGTAGTAGCTACTTGGTGGCCTGGCGAAAATCGAGATTGCCAAGCCTTTATCAAGCTAAAAGTGGTGCAATGTTGAAGCGACCAATCGTAGACGCTGATTTCACCGCCCCTCCCTCGACATAAATCCACATCCAAACATTCAAAGCCACGACAGCCATAACACAGCCCTCACAGACAGAGAGATGGAATTTCCAGGTCTTAGGATCTTTTGCTATCAATAGCCCGCCAAGGATAGAGGCGCAGAAGATCCCGAAACGCCATTCTTGATTGATGCACTTTTGGGGGGTGGTCCACTTTCCGTACCTTCTTTCGCCCAAGCATGCCAAGGTTTTGAGCTTTCCCAACTCGATCGTGTGAGACTCCTCGCACTACTTTTTTGGACTTGAAGTTGACGCCTCCTACGTAGAGACTTGGAAATTCTTGCACCGGCGTTGGGCTCATGTCCCACGGATGGACCGTGGCTTGCTGAAAGGAAAATACGAGCCATTGGCCTCCATCATCCATGTCTTTTTACCCAGGGTCCAGCTTTATGGACGCTATCTTCAACCCTCTAATGCCTAAAGACTGCTTGTTCCCAATTTTCAGTTGCTCTGTGATGCTTATCGTGTCCTCGAGGAATCATCCTAAATAATTCCATTTGCCGTGTTGTTATTTTGCTTGTCTTGCTCTCCCTTCCTCAGTTCGGCCCTGTGTAGACAGCAGTTTGCGTTTTGATGTCTACGACGAATTCGACCGCCGTTTTTGGCGGCCTTCTGAACCGAACAGATGCCTCCGAATTCTTTCGCGATCTAAATATCACACTTTTGTCAAACAAGTCGGCTAGCCTGACTTTTGATGCCTCCAGGAAAGATCTCATAATCATCGCCCCGGCTGTCGCAAGGTTGTTCCGAGTGGATCGCTTTTGGTTCAGGGTCACATGCATCTACCCGATTAGCGGCCAATATGGATTTGCCAACCGATTGATTTATTATGTGCTGCTGATCTTCTCACTCATCCTACGGCGGTATGAATATCTTTCCATCGCGGCCCTTGGGACCTGCATGACTTATGCAACCGTTGCTTGTGTTCACGCTTTTTGTCTTCTGGTGAGGTAAGTGGATCAATTGTTATGAAGCATTGGGCGGAATGCTGAGTGGCTCAGATATAAATATAAATACCGCTCGGCCGATTACAGGGCAGACCCGGACATCATAAAACGGCCTGAAACCAACTTCGGCGACGTGGACTTGCTGGGCATATATCCTATTCTTGTAGCCGGTTGCATCATGTTGACGCCAATACTGAATTGGTCAACAACAGTCCGCAAAAACAATGCCGGTGTGATCATAAAGTATTGGGGTATGCTCATGTTTACCGCTATGATTGCTGTCTTATCCAAGGTTTTAACGCTCAGAGTCTTGCCCTTTATGACGTCCGGCTCTGCGTCGTGTATTCTCGATCCAAAGATCAATTGTACCATCGACGAGATCATCGAGCCTAATGGAACATATAAGGCAACCCCAGAGTATGGGTCCAAGAGGATGTCTCTCCAATACTCCGAGAAATGCAATTGCAACAGTAATTGTGGCTCGATCGATTTGTTTGTTCCGTTTCGCAAAAGTACGAATATGCAAGCCTATCTCGTACGCGATCATATCACCAAGATTCTACGCAAAGAAGAAGCTTATTGGGTTTATCTCATCAACATCTTGTGCTTATTAGCTATCATTGGGCAGGGCATTTTTGGCCTGGTCGTGGGTAGATGGCATCCGGCAGTCGTACGAAACTGGATTTTTCGACTACTTAGTGGCGCCCAAGAGCGGCCACGTCGGTCAACATTCCTTTGGAAATGTCGATATTACATAAGCAAAATTACCGCCGGGATCATATATATGGGTGCTATCGGCGTGGCCATCATTTCCCCCCTCATTTTCATCAGCTCCGTCATCCTCAACGAATTCATCGTACATCGCTATCCTGAGGGTGAGCGCTACGATGCAGTTGGTCAGGTATGCACATCTTATCACATTTTCGCCGATTTTTCCGTGGGAGACATCTACTGATTCGCGTCTTATAATGCAGTGGTCAACCTGGGTTGGAGCCGGCGCTGTGGTTCTTGCCGCTGTTATCAGACAATACCATAGTGCCTGGGTACACTCTGCAGAACTCGGGCTCTCAACAATCATTCGCATCGTCAAATGGATCTTCGGTAAGGCAGAACTAAGAGCGGAGCCTGCACGAGCGGAGCGAAACAAGAACAATAGTGCAATTGAGGACCTCAAGGGGTTTTTCAAGCAGTGTATGAGACCGTTGAAGCATGTCTGGAGGAGTATGTGTAATGCCTGCCACAGAATTGTTTTGGAATGGAGAGATTTCAAGGCCTGGCACAAGGATCCGTTCGAGAGATTGCAGCAGCCTCCAATGCACAAAGACATTCAAACGGATTCAGGCGGAGATGTCGAGCCTGAGTTCCAGGACAAAAAAAATTCCGCTTAATTCGAAGCCACGAGTGACGTCCGCTAGGGGGTAATGGTGCCTGAACGGACCATTATGTTCATATTTCCACTTCTCGGGCGGATCAGAATGGTTGACGGGACAGCGCTGCTCTTCCTTGCAGATGCGGCGGTAGCAGAGAGCACCAAGGAGCTGGCTTGGTCTTTTATAGCAGTGCGTTTCTGGTGCGTGGCTCGCTCGATCTTCCTTATTGCATGGCTGCCGCTCGGCTCATTCACGTCAGGAACCTTTGCCTTCCGCGCTTCTGAAGTGTTCTGTTTGTAAAACCCCATATGCAATTCTCGCTCAGCCCAATCTGGTTACAGTGTCCTTATTGTGTGATCCTTTCGTCCTTCGGACAACCAGACCGGTTCTCTGCTCGCTCAGTCCAGCTACCGCGGTATTAGTAACTAACTGATGGTTTATTGAAAGTCTCAATAAATCTACGACAGCATCTGTGTCCTCATCCGTCATAAGCATCCCTTTTTCTGATTGCGCGACAAGCAGTGGGAGTCATCATTCTTTCCCTTCCTGGTTGCCGGTCCATTCTCAAGTTCGGGCTTGGTGATGGGTAAGCGGGTGTCTTCACGTCTTGGTCGGTGGTTCATTATCATTGTCAACGTCATCACCATTCTATCCTTGTCCTTATCGTCCTCCATCATGCTGGTGTCGCCTTTGATGTCCGTCTTGATCTTTGTGATCCCTCCGAATGCTCTCGCAGATATTACCGTTTGTCACTTTCTCAGCCAATATCCTACCTCCGAGGAGGTGACTTTGATCGAAGTCTGACCGGCCTCCCATCTTCAATATTTTGAGGTCTGAGCGGCTCTTGAACAGTAAAAGTGACTAACAAATGCTAACAGGTTATCCAGTTTGGCCATCCGTTCTTAAAAGCCGGATCGTCAAGGTAGCTAATATCTGTTGCCATGTTCCTTGAAACTACCAGTTTGACACCGCCCCCCAGTTGTTTGAAGTTTTCTCACTCTGAACCAATGGCGGCAACACATCCGCAAGAAAGATCCTGCTCGTAGTGACCACTGGAGGTTTACTTCTGCAGGTGAGTTCAGCTGGCCCTTTATGGCTTAATCTACAATTAGGTTTCTGAGGTCAGTGACCAACACTATTATAACTCAGCGCCTGTACTAGAGATAGGCAAGATCCTAGCGGAGCGAGGTAATGTTGTCGACTTTGCAACCATGAACGGCCAAGCGCACTACATCGAGAATTATCCGTTCGTAAATATCAAAGCTGCATCTTCTTGGCCCGGGTTCAAGTGAGCAACAGTACAATGAGCACTACCTGCGCATGCGGAGTTGGGATATGGCTTTCGGACTTAAACAGGCAATGCTGTCGAAGTACCTTTGGGACTCATTCTGGCCTGGCATATACCGTGGCCTGTTATCCGTTTGGATGATGCCTCAACCAGACCGGATTTCATCATGGGCGATTTCTTCGTCGACGCCGTAAAGGACATGCATTTCCAGTATCACATCCCAATTGCCATGATGTAGCCACAGATGCCGTTCTTGATGTTACCATGCTCGTTTGTTCCCGGCCAACCTGGTTTCCAACTTGATGAGACATTGAAGTCTGAGGACGCATCCGTCCGGCTGCGCACCAAGAACGAATGGGTCATCTGGAAAGGATTACCCGAGATTCTCAAATTCTTCAAATGGACAAAAGAAATGAGACGGTAAGAAGATGTCCATTACCTGCCGCCATCTGCTAGCAAGCCAGGTTATGTGATTTTAGTGAGCACTTTCTTCGGACTCGAAGTCCTACGAGATCTTCCCCCAACCGCTTTGGCAGTAGGTCCTGTCCTTAGTGACGAGTACCCACCTCTTGACACTGTGTGTGGCCAATTCCTTCAGATGCATAGCAAGGTCATGTACATTGCCCTCGGCACCTACGTTATCAGACCAAGTCTACGCTCAAGCACTGCATGTCCTCGGAGACAAAGAAGGAAAATTCGCCCGCAACGCCCTGCGACTGCAGCGCATGGCGCATATTGCTTCGCGGCGCAAGTATGACGGCGCTGATCTTATCGGGAAGGTGATGTACGACAAGGAGCTTCGATGGATGGAGGGGAGGAACTACGGCCGATGCATCTGCAGACGGCGGATATGAGAATGGCGTTTTGGAAGCAAGAATTGGGATCTGATGGCAGTTGTGGCTTTACGTATAATTGCCTGCGTAGCGACCGTGCTCTTGCTGGGAAATTTTGCCGGGAAAATCGAGGTCTTACGGACGGAGAAGTGCTGGCATTCGATCAGTGCGGTGATTTCTTTGAGGCTGTATTGAGGATCTCACGCTTCACGGTCGATCGCAATCTAGACATAAATCTTTCATGCTTCCCAGCTTAGGGTGGGATCCCAGATCGAATTCTGTACCTGTTTTCGCTGAATACTTCTGCCTCCTTATCCTTAGCTAACCTCGTGCACGGAACTGCTTGAATTGTCCACAAAAGGACTTACGCCTGATCCCCTTCGTCACTTGCCTGCTTCGATGTCCCTTGCGCCTTCCTTTGTAGTACCTCCAGTACCAGCTGCTGCATCAGCACAGTTCCACGGAACTCGGTTGACTGACTCGGCCCAGATCTTGCCTCCTTAGCCTGTGATATCCAACCCACCGCACAGCCAGCGTCACAGCAGCAACTCACCCCAACTCCCGCGAATGCGATCAAAGAAAGAAAGAAAGTCAAGATTATAAGCCTTCCCCTACGTCTGCCACACTCGTGCAATTCTGGTCAGCAGAAAAGCCTTTCCGATGATGCCAAACTACTGAAATCCACTCCTGTCGACTTGATTATGTCTTCGACTTCAGCTGGTTCGAGGGTATCTGACAGGGAGGTTCTGAGTCTTGAACGGGAGATCGGAGAGGAGGTTGCGAGGCCAATACAGCCGCCAAAGGTGCGTGTGAGGTTGGTGGAAGCCTATTGCAGCGGCTGAGATTGTGGTCAGTTGGAGAGTGCAAGATGAGGGCTGCTAGTAAGTGTAGTTCGGAAACAAAGAATATTGAATAAAATGCTCCGTACTCTCATATCTGTTGGCTCAAGATCACCAGTGGACGGGGAAGCCACCGAGAATCCCTCAATTGTAAGGTATTGGAAACGGAAAGTACTCACCTAAATTCCCTTTCGAAATTGTTGTTCTCAGTACGAGAATGATCGGGGGAAGGGTAAGTCCCTGACCGATCTCAACGACAACTTGGTAAGCGTATTTGCTGCGGTGGGACTGCTTTACCCGTAGGGGAAGAACACCAAGCAATACAATACCGATGACTATAAACCACGATCCTACCACAGCCACATACGCAGCTCTAAGAAGGAAATTTACCGGAAATCGAGCCGGCGACTGCTCCGAACACCGGCACCATCAGCGTGAAGAGTAGCATAGTAGCATGAGTAGACCTGCGCGCTCTGCTGAGAAGGTGTGGACGACCTGGAATCGTTGTGGAGTTTCAATGATGGCAACATAAAATGTGAAGCCGGCCAGATATGTGAGGCTGGCCTGGCGCGAGAGGCTGCTTGTAACCGATCAGAGCCCATTGCGCCTTAAGTGGCTGACTTTCAGCTCGGTTTCGTGGAGTGAGATGTCCCTTGCTCATCGGCCATGTTTCTCGAATGACTCGTACATAAAGAATATCAGCTGCTCTGGGGCTACAGAGTCAGCAGATCTGAGATTCTCTGTCTGGTTGATCTCGAGGGACGCCGTAATAGCAGTAGCGCAGTAAGAGCTTCGTCAGGCAGCCGCGGTCACTTGACAATGGCCTCAACCATCCCTCGAGCAAGAGTGTCGTGCTCTTTCTTTGTCTACGAAGGGATTTCTCGATCCATGAGCGTGGGTGTTTGATGAGAGATTTCCAGGGCTTTTCTTGTAAAGAAGAGCTTCGCAGTAGAAATCACGATGATTGAGCCCAACGCCGAGCATTTGGCAGGCACTGGACTTTCGAGGGGAGAAGCCTGTTTCTGTCGCAATTATCATGGTAGTGAGACAAGACATCTAGCCACGAAGGTGCCTTGTTAGAGGTCTTTGTTTTGTGACAGACGGCAACTCTCTACGGATGTTTCTCCCAATCACATCATACTATCTCGATGGTATACTTACTGACGCCGTCGAAGTCCTGATAGTTCGATTCATCCAGCGTTGGGGTTGTAAAGGCTCTTCGCAGGGTTGTGTGAAATAGCCGATCCCTGACCCAGGACTTTGATGCCTCTGCCATGAGGTGCGGCAATATCCTATAGTCACGTTCTCGAACCCTGCGCCGAAAATGCTTCCAAAACAGCCACCTATGGACACCTATGAACTCGAAGAATCCTATTCGGCGAAAGCGACCTTTGACATTCTGAATCGGCTCAAGAACCAGGCCGCATCGAGTCCAATATCCCTGCATTTGCCCATAGCGGCGCAACCCCTTCTCGACGACCGGGAAAAGAAAAAGGTTGTCATGAATCGAAACAACGTCAGATGGTCCGCTGTCCGCATCCGGGAACAGCTCCAACCTGGAGGCTAGCCATTTGCAAAGACAGTCCTCGCCTTCACGTGTACATAATACTCCACGTGTACATGATACTCCACGTGTACATAATCTTGAGAGTTTTGGCGAGATGGATGCAGCTCCGCAAACGAAGCCCTTCATCAGCAAAGACCCATCAGTGACTGGTCCGAACGGGCCGTCATTGGTAGACACCGTACTTGCAAGGACTTCAGCGACAGTCGATCCTGGATTACATCGTAAGTAAGTTATTTCTCCATCAAGAGAAGCCCAGGACCAACTAGGTGCACGGTATTGCCGGGCTAAGACTCCACCTTTAGGGGTGTACCACAGCAGCGATTTAGGCAAGCTTGGTCTCCATAGTCCTGCCAGATAATCTTCAGGTTTGAATTTTCCTGTCATCCGAGCCGCGATGCCAGCAAGCGCCACCAATTTGTCGGAGCTAAACGTCAACCTGCGACGTGAGTATATCCTAGTGATTTCATCCCAAACACGAAGAGCTTCTCCATCACGGCTTACACGCTCAAAGCGTTGCTTCAGAGAAAGGCTGCCAAAATGACCGGCCGTAACCTCCATATCTGGAAACACTTCTGACCTGCTGCTCTCGAAGCACTCCCAATAGATCTGGTCTTCTCCAAAATGCAGATTTCTTGGCGAAAGGAGTCTTTCCTGGAATGTCCATCCTCTCTGTTCCAGCTTTGAATGACCGAGGAAACGTCTGAAGGTATCCAGGCGGAATATGTGGTAGATCCCCTTTTCCACGGCTAGGTCACCTATGTTTTCCCATCCAATGGAGATGTTGCATCCATTCATTCTACCATGTTCTCGGTCGTGGAAAAGTCCTCCATCAGCACTTTCGGAAGCTGCAGCAGCAAGATTAAGACCAGAAAATGCAAAAACTTTTGCCATCGAAAGAGCCTCCTGTAGCCAATCTTGTGGTGAATCTTGAATAATGCACAACGCATCTATCCAAAGATATCGATAATTCAGCCGTCGTGTTACTTGCACAGCATCTCTGAAGGTCTGTGGAAGTTGAGTAAGCTCTATGCCACTTTGAAAGGCTGACAGCTTTGCAGAGACTAATTTTGTGAACGAGTTATCTTCGCCCCAGCAATAACTGAGGGTTACGTACCCTTTGCTTTCTTGTAGACTAGAGCGTGATATCAAACGTATTTTGTCTTCAAACTCCTTGTCCTGCCTAGAGACATCCAAGAGACGGGTAGGTAGCCAAAGATGGCTGCCTTCGACTGTTTCTGACCATCTATTGCAGGTTTTGTGTGTGCTAAGACAATGTCGTATCCATTTTTCAGCCACTATGAGGCTTTGGACAGAATCAGTATTTTGAGAATCAAGGTCAATGCCAACGGTATTAAGCTCTAACCAATCCAAAATAACTTAGTGATCTATCCATGTCTATCACATACGACGGTAACGTACGAGATTTGGGAGTAAAGAAGAGGTCGTTAAACAGAGCTTCCTGGTGAGTAAAAACCGTCGCACCACCTTTAAATCTCACTTCCTTCCGCCCATTCAAAGTAAAAAGCGGATATTGACGATCATCGAACGACACAGTGTAGCTGCGGTCGACTCCCTCGCTACGAGTAGCCTGCGTCTCGTACTGCGGGTCGACCGGCGTAGAAAACAAATTCCGGAGATAGGCACAGAAAGAGCAGACATGGTTCCCTGTCGGTGTTTCGAGTCCCCTCGAGAACTTAGGGGCGCTAGGACGGACATGATACACTTTACCGACTTTGATATGGCGGCGCGAGAATAGAGAATGACACGCCTGGCAAAGACTCATGACTCCGTTCTCAGAAACAGTAGCAAACTATGAGTGCCAGTTCTCATGCCCTCTCGTAAGAGCAGTAGTACAACAAGGAAACCACGCTGTACAGGCCCCTGGAACGGGAGGAAGAAGATTCCGTTCTTTGCCAGATACTTGAGGACTCAACTGTCTTTTGAGCAGTACTTTTAAACGATTGTGTGCGACTCAAGGTAGAAACCAGCACAAGCAAAAAACGAGGCGATCAGGCTGAAAGAGCCTCGAGTTGCAATTGACGCCAGCCTTGTAGGAAGCCAGACCGCAGCTCGTGTAACGGGAAAGTCATTAACGATCGGCCAACCAATTGACTGCCTAGCGTACGCGTCATTTTCGTGGCACCCTTTCCGCCGTAGTCCGAGTGGGAGGAAGTTCGGCTGGGTAACTATCCGACCAGCCACAGCTTGCACAACCTATGTGAAGAGTGGGTGCCGAATGCTCGCTCCGGCCCGTGGGTGGGAAGGGGGGTTTTTAAGGATAGTTTGGGAAATTCACAAAAGCAGGAGCAAAAAGAGATACTGTTTTCATTCAACGACGAAGATACACCGTCACTAAACACCTCGCTATGATAACTCGTGACAGATTGTTCCCAATTCATTCATGCATCATCTCTCAGGTACATTGCAACAGCCGTGCCAAGTCAGATATCCAGTCAAGAAAGACAAAGAGAACCAAAATGCTTCTCAAACAGGATTCGCCTTCTTCTCCGTCTGCAGCAAATTACCCAATGCGCCCTTGGCATCCCAACTGGGGATGGACCAAGTCTCCATCTGGTTCCCAGTGTTGCTATTGAAAGCCGGCGACCTTTCGATTTTCTCCCTGTTCGCAGCCTCCTTCGCTTCGATGAGCCATTCTTCCCATGCCGGTGTCTTGGGCGCTAGCACTCCTTCTTTCACCCAGCCCGTAAAGCCGGTGATGGCGATTGCTTTCCACAGCGCCTCTGTGTAGGTGGTCGGAGTCGTGGCATCATCTCTGCCCTCGGTTGGAAATCCACCTTGGACGTTGATCTCAGAGACTTCGAGACGTGACAGGTCCCAGTGTCGTGCAGGTGGCAGGGCTGCCACAATCCAGTAGAAGATGTTGAGGAGCATGTAGGATGCCGCGAAACCACTTTGGAGTTCGATGCCGGAATTGGCGAGGCATATCACTCCGCCCATTAGCAGCAATGTACCCACGAGAGATAGCAGCCTATAGGTAGGGCCACTGCTGATAGTGTAGACACACTTCTCGCTAGGGTTAAAGTAGAGATATCGGGCTGTCCGTTCGTCGCACAGCACCACAATGAATGCGCCTTGCGGGTATCTGATGACTACGTTCCCAGGAGGGGAATTGGGATCTGGCTTGGGTGCATTTGGAGTTGGATGCCATTTGTTAGACCATCCTGTCAGTGTTCCCAGAAGTGAGAGGAAAATTGTTGCCAACAACGCCATGCCATCGTTGTAGTAGATGCTCAATCCAAACAGGGCAGCGCTCATGGAAAAGCCAAGCAGAGCAAGGGCTGTGAGCGGGCCCAGAGTCCGGACCGAAGGCCTTGGTAGTTCATCTTTTTCTCTCACTCTGACCAATTTGACGGAATTGTGTGGCAGCTTGTCTCCACGATGGAGGGCATGAGCAACGTGGTGGATCTCGGTTGCAGTATTTCCAGACTCAATGCCCACCACTTTCACCGTCGAGACACCTTCTAGCTTCTCAGGCCTAGATGGACGGATGAAGACTTGAGGCGCAGGGAGTAGTCGGGGTAGGTAGACGAAATGGCTAAGGGTGGCAACTTGTGCTATTGGCTCTAAGGATCCTTCACCGAGAATGGCCAGAAAACCTGAGTGGAGAAGTCAGCATAATGTATGGATAATGACTATACTCTACTACTCACCAACAATGTCCAGCTGGAAATTGTCTCTCGAGAACGATTTGATAAAATCCAACATCGTGAAGTTTGCAGTGCCGTATCCAATCGGCTTGGAACATCGAGAAGAGCATTAGATATGTCATAGAAGAGAAGGAAATGAACTCGTTAAGCACGTAGACCTCTAACAACAGTCAAAGTGATAGAAGCAAACTTCTGCGCGACATGACGTGCAACATGACGTGGCATTGGAGGCCTCAGCCTCGTTGCTTGGGGTTGGCTTTGAGGCGCTGTTCCAAGCCTTCAGCGGTAGGCGGAGCGGGTGGTGGCTTGGTCAAGGAAAATCTTCTGGGGGTGGCCAATCATTTCTAACATCTATCTCTGCATCTCCGGATCCATCAGAGGCCGAAGGGCTCAGCGCACGGGTACCTTGAGACTACGTTAGGTTCAACTTCATGGAATGTCCTACCCGTCCCGAGCGGGCCTTGACTCGGCCACAGAGAAGCAGACCGGCTCTCTACTGACCATCGAAAGCTTAGTGTCAACATTATCAGGAAGTGAGTCTCCGGGGAGCAACGTATGAAGCCGAGTTTCTGTCAGAAAAGGATCGTACAAATAAATCAGCAGTCTATGGAAAAATTCCCTCATCAGCACCTATATTATCCGCTCACTTGTTTGTGCGTTATCGTGTCTCATGAAAGCTCCATAACCAGTCAAGATCACATCTTTGCTACTGTTCAAGGCTTGTGACCGCATGCCGTCTGGCCATCCCCACTCCTTGCTTCTTCATTGACCATATGAATGTGCTTAGGATCGTGGCTGGACTTCCGTCCTGTACTTCTGCTGCGCCTCCTGGTTTGCGACCAACTCAGGCTTTGCCTCTTGCTTGACAGGCTCCTTGCCAGGCCAGAGGTGCGCCAGCTGGCCTCGGACCTTCGCCTTCGGTCATCTCCCTTGGCATTTCCCAAATCGAGTACCTGTTTCAGAACTGGCAACTCTGCGTGATCTCGTGTGTTCTTCATGCGATGACACCACGTCACCTCTGCTTGCTGCAGTGCCCCGTTGCCCGTTTTGGAATTTGTGAGCGACGTACCTCCGCCAGTGACCTCGAACAGAAACTCACCACCTACTTGCTTCAAATCGCCAGCTTGCAGCACGTCACCACTACCTATCCTCTTCAAACCTTGAGCAATACTCTTCACCACTCCTGACACCAGCGTGTGGCGTATATAATCAGGATCTTTGTTGCCCAAGCTCAACGTCCTCGCCATACCAAGTAGGCTGTACAGCCTCTTCGACGGGTCAGCAAAGATCGGGTACGGACATTGTGTCTGTTCGATGTATGATGGAATCAGGGTATGCGAGCCACAGCCAATGATTCGGATTGATGTATCTTGGGGCAGAGAAGAAGGAGGAATGGCTGCAGCAAGAGTGCGCAGATACTCCTGGCAGTTCTAAGTGATTTTTAGTCATGCTCTTCGCACACAGGGAGTATCAACGATACTTACCCCACAGAAGAAATGACGGATGAAGATGATCATGACCTTCTTGCTCTCGTTACCGTTGGACCAGTATAGGCTTTTGAATGACACGGTCTTCCCATCGACATCGAAGACTGGTAGGTCTGCAATTCTTTCCAAGGTCGACTCGGATGGTAGCGCTGTACTGACTTTGACATCGCCCTGGAACTCCTGCGTGGCGGGATCCGAGTTGGCACCCAGACGCCTTTCGTCGTGTGGCATGACAGAGGGTAAGACTGGACCTGAAATATCGCAGCGAGCTGTGGGTATGGTGGTATGAATGGGACCTGGGACAGTGATCGTAGCGGTGATGGAGTAATTACGTCGAATGCTTGTCTGTCTGCACAACCTGAGAGAGAGTGGTGTGGTTGGAGTTTTCAGAGAAGCAGGTGATAATAACGCTTGTACGAGCCCGTCTCCTGATTTCTTTTCCACTGAGCCGTCTACCCGGAGCGGGACACTCCTGCTGGCCACCATGATGTGAATTTTCAATGTCACTGGTGGATTGAGGAGCAGGCTTTCCCTTGAAGGTCCAGGCCACGATCTCTGATTCCAAAAACTGTCTCGTGGTGGCGCTGGGGTGTATAAGATAGACTAGTCTCGTGGCTGCTATAAGCAAACCAGACTTATGGCATCCGCTAGAACTCAAATGAGCTCGGCAAGGACAAATGCAGTCAAGGGTAGGATTCAACGCAGCCGTAGCAACGAATCGGGAAAGCAACAAGCCGAAACAGGAATGCGGCCGGTGGAGCTAACGCAGAATGTGACAAAACGGGTGATCCTTCAGAACTAAAACGGCCTAGGCACAGACGGGCAGGATGATCAGCGTGCTTAGTCTGTGCAGCGGAGGAGGGAGGACGTGACCGCTGGCCGGCAGTGGGAGATCCGATGAGACCAACAGGGTCCAAATGGCTGAGACCGAGACTTGGGAAAGGAGATATAATGATGAGAAGAAAAGGAAAGCAACATCAGAAAGACGAAAAAATGAAGTGAAGTGTTTGAGGATATCTGAAACAGTTGCAATTCGTAATTCGTAACTACCATCACGCGCCCATAGATGGGTACGGTGCCATTCATGCTGGTCCTTCTTCGTCTTTCGAGATTCTACTCGATGCATGAAGAAACGGAAGCTTGTCTCTCCGAGACTTTGGTTGGATGTGAATGGCCAAGGTCGAGGTGTTGGTGGAGGATTATGTGAGGCCATGAGGTGAACGAAGTGTCATCGAGGTTTCAACTTCACCAAACCTGGCTAGCCCGGACTGGGCGCCACGCGCGATCTTCAGGCAGGACGGAGTAGGTTAGCATGATTTCTACTAATAGTATAGTTAATACTAATATATACTAATAGTATAATAGCAGTAGTTGAATGCACCAGTTGGATGCATGTTCTTCAATTACCAGATGTGGTAGGTCAAATGCAAATGGACATCGTTATACCAGTACACGGCAGATGAGATGAGTTGGCTCGTCACACGGAACTGGCAACTCCGTGGAGATTAGACTCAGGCATACATCTTATATTGCCTGCAGCGGAAGAGTCAGCTTCCAGCTCTCGTGCATAATCCTTCTGGCAGTGCATTGCACATGCTTACTGTTGAGACGAAGCATCCGGTTGCTTGTGGGGCCACTACTTGAGAATGAGCGTATTTGTATTGTGTTCTTATGCTACACATTCTGTAATGAGTGTGGATGTGCAGCCTGGCAGCCGTACTAATGACCGGTGATGGAAACGCAAGCATACATAGGAGAGAACAGCAGTCTGTAAAAGGAAGGGACTGGCACCCTGGACCCCTCAATGTCTCATCGGCACGACTATTCAGTATGGTAAATCCTGCTGACAAATTCTCCGAAGTTCCAGCCGGTAGCCATCGACCACGAAGTCGTGGACTAAGCGGTGGACGTTCCTCCGCGCGCTTTGCAACTCTAACTCAAACATCCCTCGCTTGCAGCGTTTTCTGATCAGAGCTTTGAAATTGGTTCACTCGATGCTTGCATGATCTGGGCCCGTTCCTGATCATCCGCTTGTGCGGCTTGGACCGTAGCGACTAGCGTAAGCCATTATCTTCACAAGCATGGGCGGCCACGTTTAGTCAGCATGGGCTTGAAGGCAGAATGACGGATGAGGTCCCGAGGGCGCAGTTATAACGCAGGATGACGTTCAAGATTCCAAATGGCTGCAACCTTATGTGCGGGCCAGGCCTCTTCCAGATCAATCATAGTTTCCACCAACCTGGCTGGCAAATGCGGTTGACACACTGCGGGAGTCATCGTCTTCATGTCCTGGCTGGCGTGGTGCGCGCAGACTGGCTGAGCTGCCGCCAAACACGCTAGAGTTGTCAACAGGGCGACCACCAGACTCGACGTATCGCTTCAGGCGGTCAGACTGGTTGAAGCTTGGTTGCTTGTGGATATCATGGATGCTCAAAGAACCAAGGCTGACACCACCTTGACCACGACCGTCACCTACAATACTGCTGGTGATGTCAGATTCTGTGGCAGTGACTGATTCGCCGGCAACGCTTTCAGCGGCACCCTTGGCTTTAGTTCCATTGACCCGACGGCCTTGCACGCCCTGTAGAGATGGCCAGGTGTCTGGCGTGAAGCCATGGAACATCGGTGGAAACCCTGCTGGAACACCCACGCCGCCTAGCGCAGATGACTGAACGGAAGAAACATCATCAGGAATGTAGCCAACGACTGATCCAGGGTCGTGGTACTCATTACGGTGACCATTGCGACCATTCATCATACCACTCGCCATGTTCGTAGCATGATTGTATGCCATTTGATACCGCTGAGGCCCACGATAGGATTGCTTTGGTCGGCTGAACTGATGAAGCGAAACCTGTAGATTAGACAGTGGACCTTCAACCAGGCAATTTCGTTCCTTGAAGTGAAGAAGCAGATAGTGCCAAAGCGGATGTTTGGAGAGCACCTTGGGGTTGCCGAGGATCACCAACCCATACTTGGCACGTGTCATAGCAACATTGAGTCGACGAGGATCGCTAAGGAAGCCAATACCTTGATGATCGTTCGAGCGCACACAAGAGAGAACAATGAAGTCCTTCTCTCGGCCTTGGAAGGCGTCGACGGAAGCGACTTCGATTTCCTTGTAGGTCTCCTTCTTGAAAGTTCCCGTTGCTTGCATGGAGCTAACGACATAGCTGCGCTGCCCTTCGTATGGCGTGATGATTCCAATATCCTGCGGTTGCACCCCAGCCTTGAAGAATCGAGTTACAATCTTCTCTACGTTAGCGGCCTCCGTGCGGTTGAGGTACGATGTACCCGAAGCTGAAATCTCTTCATTGCCAAGGTTAGCCCAGAACATCATGGGAGCGTCATTGACAGGCCATGGGAAGTCCACGTCTCGTCGGAGGCGCTGTTGCATAGTCACACCGTTCTGCAGGGACCCTTCGTAGAACATGTTGGATGGAAATTCGGAGAGGCATGGATGCATGCGGTACTGAACATTGAGTCGGATAGGTGCACACCCCAGTATAACTAGACGCTCGAACAAGGATTGATTCAGTCCAGCTTTGGCGGCCTTCTTATTCATGATGACGGGGCCAAGCTGTTGATGATCCCCAACCAGAACGACTTGCTTGCATCCGAGTACCAGCGGAATCATGCACTCTGGCTCTGCCGATTGGGTGGACTCGTCAATAAGAACAGTTCTGAACTTGAACTTGGAAAGTCGTGGATCACCAGCACCAACACAAGTACAACAGATGACATCGGCATTGGTCAGAATCTCGCGCTCAGCAGCTCGGGTCAATTGTTTGAATTTCTTCTCGTCTTGACTCGACAACTCTCCCAGCTCTGATTTAAGCTGGTTGAGTTTTGTGAGCTCAACGTTGCTGTCATTCATGCGAACCTGCTCGTGCAGAGACAGGAAACCGACAGGTGATTCGACGTCTTCACGGGATTTGGCAGTAACCCTAACTGTCTTTAGCCCCGTGAGATGGATACGCTCGCAAAGTTGGTCGACAGCAACGTTGGACGGGGCGCAGACCAGAACTTGTCCACCATTGATCTTAGCAAGGTGGTAAATTATGGTAGCGGAAGTCACCGTCTTTCCCGTCCCTGGAGGGCCTTGAATCAAGCTCAGTGGCTTTTGTAATACTGATTTGACGGCATTGATTTGGCTTCCGTTCAACTCTGGCAGCCCAGGCACGGAGAACTTCTTGGGCATTTGTGTCTTCATGGGTGCTGCCGCAACTTCATGACCCAGCAACCGATGGAAGATGTAACCAGAAACGCTCATTTCATCGATAGCAAAAGTCTTCATAGCGAGTTGCATTCGGTCAAATGATGTTGCTTTCCAGACATAATCGGCCGCAAAGTTGTGCGTGCATTCCGTTGGTACAGATTTGTGATCGCCTTTTGCCCGCAGCTCGATCGTCACCTCGTCAGATAGGTTGTTGGGAATCTTTATCACGTAGCCAACTCCTTCCCAGTGCGCGCGCAGCTCTCCAGTGTATTTGAGTCGCATCTCATCACCAACCGCCAATTTGACGTCACCGAGCTCGAGTTTTGGTAGAACGAAGCTTGCAAGATGTTTATTGTTCAGTCCAAGATCCCATCGCACAATCAGACCATCCTGCGACTGCGACTCTTTCAATTTGCGGTCATAGTCTGCTTCAATCTTGACAAGTGGTCCGAAAACGTTCTGGTATTGATAAGCATCATCGTATCTCAGAAGGACTGGTGCAGGCTCGTCATCGATGTTGGCAGCCTTCTCCAGATCGGTGATTGTAGCTCCAGCATTTTCCTTCCACATTTCTTCCAGCTTCGCAATCATCTGAGGGCTAAGGTGACGAGCCCTGAGTTGCTCCTGGTCTGAGGGTGCAGCAACGAGCCATGAGAGGAATGAGCGGTCTTCGATCAAGGGCTGCCAGCGTGACGTATCCCAGTTCATGTCCTTGGTAGACGGCATGGCGGCGCATGGTTGTCGGCAAAGAAGGACCACAACAGTGTCGGATTTGGCGGGAATGAACCCAAGGAGGAATACATTTTTTGTTCCGCAATTGTAGCACTCCAAAACTGTGTCGCCAAGTGAGCTGCTTGGATGTAGTTGCACTTCCTTGTGCCGAGCACGGACCAGATGGTTGACGATATGGGACGAGGACGTATTTCCACGAGCACTGCAGAACCATTTGCTGCATGTAAGGCATCTAACAACACTGCTCGGGTTGTGAATACCACAGTATCTGGACCACAAGCATTAGACCCAGTCTTTGGGAATCCATAATCGGCCTGACTTACGCGCAGGCATGTGGGGGCAGTTCTTTCTCTTCTTCCACTCTTGCCTGGCCATTCGCTCCATTCCCGTCAACTTGCATGCTTGCCAAACTTTCCAGATCGTCCTCTCCCAGCCCATCAGATCCGTCGTCGTCATGCCGTCGTCTCCTTGGGCCTTTGGCAAGATTAAGGACGCTCTCGTCTGGATCTACAGTCGATGCATCATCAGTAGCATTGATAGCCGCCGCTGAATTAGAAACCATGTGGTTTCCCAGATTGCTAAAAGCTTCCATGGCTGCGGCGGGGAGCTTGGTGATCCGTGTGGGTTTCTCGAAATTGTGGTGCTTAACAGGTGGTATGTGATTTAAAAAGTCGTATGAAGGACCAGGCTAAAACCGCATCGTATCAGCTTGACAATCTCTCTTTGAAGAGGAGTGTTCGAGATTGTGAGCAGAAGTGAAGGTCGGGCATACATATCAGTAGTGGCGGGTGGCAGACCTTGATATCATGCGCAGGTCGGCGCAAGTCATGTAGAGCAAGTCGTGTAAAGGGTTGTATGACAACCTCAAGGAAGCAATGAAACTCCTCCCCGACTCCACCAAAATGATAACGGCAGGTGAAGTATCATGAACGCTTGCATGAACAAGTCAACAAGTCGAAGCAGGATAGTGGATAATGGCTCATCTAGTCAGACGGGATGGCGCTACTGTACTGTACGGAGTAGTGCTGCACGTATGGAATCCAGGTCAAAACTCTAAATTTTTACATATGCTCAAAATTCGCTGCGGGTTTCAGAAGAGTAGATTCATTTCGATATCTGCAACAAGATGATAGTAAGGACAATATCCTCGAGGCTGCTTCTCGTGCTATAACTAACCTCATATAGCGAAGGCAAAATCGAGAGAGACGGGACTACATCTATCGCCGCGCTCTCCTCCTCCGCGATGCCTCCATAGCGGAGAAGCGAGCCCTACTCAAAAAGTCCCTCGCAACAGGCAAACCTCTCGATCCAGCCATTGCTAACGACAAGTCCCTGCGAACGGACTACAAATACGATGAGTCCCTTGACCAAGAAGCCGCCGAAGCCCAGCAAAGCATCGACGATGAATACAGTCTTCTCTCCGGGCTCACCGATCCACGACCCCTGGTTACCACCTCCCGCAGCCCATCCACCCGCCTCGCAACCTTCAGCAAAGAAATCCGACTACTCCTTCCCACCTCGATCCGACTAAATCGCGGCAACCTGATCCTTCCCAATCTCCTTTCCTCCGCCAAAGCCTCCGCCCTCTCGGACATAATTCTTCTGCACGAACATCGCGGCACCCCTACCGCGATGACAATATCCCACCTCCCTCACGGGCCCACCGCCTCCTTCTCCCTCCACAACGTCGTTCTCCGAGCCGATATTCCCAACGCCTCGCGCGGCACAGTCTCAGAATCCTACCCGCACCTGATCTTCGAAGGTTTCCGGACTAAGCTCGGCAAGCGCGTGGTGCAGATCCTGAAGCACATCTTCCCGCCTCGGGAGGGACCACATAAGGTTGGGAACAGGGTAGTGACATTCAAGAACGTGGAGGACAGTATCGAGGTGCGGCACCATGTTTTTGTGCAGACGGGGTACAAGGATGTGGAGTTGGCGGAGGTGGGGCCGAGGATGACGATGAGGTGTTTTGAGATCAAGGGCGGGACCTTGGAGAAAGACAGTG